ATAGATAGATAGATAGATAGATAGATAGATAGATAGATAGATAGATAGATAGATAGATAGATAGAGGACACAGGGTGAGTTGAAGATGAAAGGGTCATATCTGGAGAATAAAATTAAGGGGTAAGAGAGGATTATACTAAGAGATGGAGAAAGGGAGAGGTAGAATGGGGTAAATTATCTCACAAAAAAAAACAGAAAAGAAAAGGCTCTTACAGTGGAGGGGAAATGAGGGAAGGTGAGAGGGAATGGGTGAATCTTATTCTCATAGGATTTGACTTAAGGAGGGAATAACATACACACTCAATTGCGTATGGAAATCTGTCTTACCCTATATGAAAATGGGGCGGGGAGGGAACAAGAGAGTAGGGGGATGATAGAGAGGAGGGCAAATTGGGAAAGGGGGTGATCAGAAGCAAATACTTCTGAGAAGGGACAGAGTCAAAAGAAAGAATAGAATAAATGGGGGGGCAGGATAGGATTAAGGTAAATAGAGTAACTTTTTCACAGCCTGTCTCCTATGGAAGTGTTTTGCATAACTGTACATGTATAACCTATATTGAGTTGCTTGCCTTTTCAATGAGGGTGGGTGGGGAGGGAGGAAGGGAGAAAATTTGGAACCCAAAGTTTTAAAAACACATGTTTAAAAAAATGTTTTCACGTGCAACTGGGAAATAAGAAATACAGGAAATGGGGTATAGAAATCTATCCTGCCCTACAGGAAAATAGAAAGGGAAGGGGATAATAAAAGGCGGGGGGAGAGATAGCAGGGAAAGCAGACTAGAAGAAGGGGTATTCAGAATGCATGCCATCTTGGGGTGGGGGAGGATGAGATGGGGTGAAAATTTGGAACTCAAAATCTTGTGCAAGTAAATGTTGAAAACTAAAAATAAATTTATTAATAAAAAAAAAGAAATTACAAATCCATTTGAGTATTTGAGCATCAGACTATTCACTCATATTGAATAGCAGGTAAATAAAACCCACACATCACTTTCACATGAACTCTTTTCTAATTACACTTCTCCCTTTCTATACATGTTAAGCTGAGATATTGAATCCACATGTAGGATTTTACATACTTCTTTATTATATCACATTCTCGCCTACTGAGACCTTTTTAGATTCTATATCTGTCACCCACAAATTAGCTTTGACTCCCAGATTTATGACGTGTAAATTTCATAAGAATATCATCTATACCTTCATCCAAGTCATTGATGAAAATGTTAAACAGCACTGGTCTAGGGACAAATCCTTTGGACATTACACTATAGACTTTCAAGTTGACATTGAACTACTAATGACAAATCTTCACATTCAGTCAGTCAAATTCCAAATTCACCCTAACTATACACTTGTTTAGTCTATATCTCTTCACTTTGTCCATGAGAATAGCACGAGAAATTTTGTCTTATATTTTTGTCTACCACTAATACTACATTATGTGGTTGTGATTCATGGAATACTATAGTTTACAATGAATTGAAATCAAGGCTCACCCAAAAGGCAATGGAAAGGTTCATGGTGATGTGAACAAGATACAATATATTATAAGCAAGAAATGATAAAAGATTAATATAAAAATGGTCTGATCATGTAAGCAAGAGTAAGGAATGCACTAAATGCTGTACAGTCTATATACTGCACTCGTGTACTCAGGATGCCAAGAAAAGTGAGGGAGGCTCCATCATGTTGAGTGGACTCTCTGTGGTGAACTTTTGGAAGGCATAAGCAAGAGTTCCACAGAATAGTCAGGGGTAGATTGTAGACTGCATCATCAACCAATCAATAAGCATTTATTTATCACCTGCCATATGCCAGGCACTGTGCTAGACGTTTGGAATACAACTACTAATAATGAAACAATCCCTACCCTCAAAGAGCTTACATTGTAATAGGGAAACAAGAAGTACATCAATAAGTACAGTATGCACCAAATAAATGTAACAAAGACAAATATAAGGTACTTAAATACAAGGTACTTAGGAAGAGAGGACACTAGCAGTTGGAGGGATCAGGAAAGGCTTTGTGGAGAATATTAGGCTTTACATGCATCATGAAAGAAGAGAGGGATTGTATGTGGCAGAGATGAGGAGAGAATATATTTCAGAAATGGACGACTGTCAGAACAAAAGACACTGCCAGGTGTGAGGAACAGAGAGAAGGCTAGTTTGTAGGGGATTTTCACATCATTGAGACCACAAATACATTTGAGAATTTGAATGAATATTTCCTAGATTTACCAGTCTAATGACCCTGTCAGAAAAGGATATGAAAGTGATCTAGCATGATCAGAAGCTATAATGGCTCTTAATTATTTCCCTTTCCAAAGGCTTAAAAACCAGATCTTTAGTAATATATTATAGAATTTTTTCAGGAATTCAAGTTCAGCTTACTAGTTTATTATAATTTACAGGTTCTTTCTTCTTCCTTTCTTTGAAAATCAGGACACTGGACCTTCTCCAGTTTTGACGTCTCATTTTTTACAATCTTTCAAAGATGATGGACAATGGCTATGTGATCACATCTGACAGTTCTTTTAGTTTCCAGAAATGAAGTAAATCCAGCCCTCATGACCTGAATTCCTTAAAGGTAGCTAGGTGTTCACTTATCACCTCTTTATTCATAACACATTTCAATTTCTTGTTAGCAACTTTTTTCTTCCTTTTTCAGCCAAATATTCTTTTCTTTAAAAGAAAAAACCTAAAGCGAGTTGATTAATTCTGCCCATTGTTCAGTTTCCCATCCCACGTTATCATCATCCCACGCAATCCTAGCAACATGGCCTTAAAAGACATCCTTTTTTTTATAGATAGCCTTTGTTGCTATAGTCAACTCATTCTAAGATTTCACTCTCTTGATATTATTTTCATAGGAACAATTCCCGTTGTGGAAGCTCCCTCTGTACCATTGGGTTGGCAGATGTGGATCAGCAAATCCTAAATATCTTGACATCTTAGAATGTTTCCTGAGACACTGAGATATTAAATTATTTGCCCATTGTCACACAGCCAACATGTGTCAAGAAGAACTTGAATTTAAGTCTTTGTAATTTCAAAGCCAGCCCTCTATCTGTTACACCATAACATATTTTCCTCTGTCTTCTACCCTTAGTTCCATCTTCTTTACATAGGATTTAAAAATCTAAGTTTATCAACAAATTCCCAGTGAATCCATATTGGTCACTTTAAATCCCCTTTTTTCCTCATCAAAATCATTTTTTTGTTTGTGTCTTAAAATCTTAAGATCTTTTCATCCTTCTTGGATTGACTTCTTCTCTAGAATTTTAGGATAGGTCTATTTTTTTCCTATATGTCTTTGAAATATGAAATCTAGTATGTACATCAAACTCTTCTCAAATTTCCTTTTTCTTCTCTATCACAGTCTAAATTGTAGTAATCATTTGTCCCTCTTCTCCCAAGGGGACTTGCACTTCTATTTCAGCTCTCTTATTGTCCAAAATAAGGTCCAGCATAAGTTCTTCTAGTCTCTTCCTTCACAGTTAATAAAATTAAATTATTGATAAGTCAAGTCAAAAATTAACTGTTTTTAACCAAGAAATAGTGAACTCTAATAGGTTTCTGGATAATTGAAGGGCTTCATCATTTCTTCACTATGATTCCTTTTTCTTTTTGTTATCTGTTTCCCAAATTCCTCTCCTATTTCCTCCTTCTGTCCAGGTGGTCTATAGTACGTACACCTAATAATATTACTGTTTCTCCTTCTATTGATCCTGCCCTAAATGTTTACTAACATGCTTCCACTCTTTTTTTTCCCCGGTTTCCTTCAAATGATTCAACACTATTCCACTACATTTTTCATCTGCTATATTTCATTAGGATAAATTAACTATTATCCAGTCACAGTATTCCTTTCTAAATCTAAAATTCTTTGTTCTTGATGGTAAAGACTCTATCATCAATTGTTTATGTATTTAAAGTGACTAGCAACCTATTTTGCGCACAGTAAGACACTCAATAAATATTTATTGAATAAATGAATGATTTAAGGTGGAGAGGAGAAAAATGAGTAAAGTATTTCTATATTAAGGTGTCTTTATCACAAAAATATTTTCTCTAGATGAATTTTTAGTTAAGAAATATGTTGCAAAATTAATTTTCAATCTCACTTGTCATTTCTTTCCTTTAGAAAAGTCTTAATAATTACATGATTTCAGTCTGTTGGAGACAAATAATTGTAACCATCCTCTACCACCTACAATCTTGTGTTTTTTTTCCTTTGCAATTCAGAATGAAGTACAAGATTTATGGAAAGAAAATTGTATAATATTAGATTCTGCAAAAAGATATGGCTATGAAGTGGTTGATACTTTTAGCATAACCATGGGACGCTACAAGGAATTTCTGCAAGGAAAGTGTGGATGTCATTTCCATGAGGTATACACATGAATTATCTATCTGTTCAATAAGTTATTAATAGCATTTATTTTTGTTAAAAAGGATTCATTGTATTTTTCTCTTGCATTATCATTTCTATTTTGTATGAGAAACCTGAGTCATCAAGAAATTAACTAATCTGCTTAGTATTGCTCAGCAAGTTGTAGCATGTAGGAATCCCAGCATTAAGCACTATAAAACAAAGTTTAAAAAATGTTATCTCCTTAGCATTTCTTTGCACACTTAGTAGTGTTATAAGCCTGAAGCAACCACATGGGTTACCTAACCTATCTCCTGGCCTCCAAGAAAGACTACTCATGAGTCGCACCTGTGTGAAAAATATCTTCAAGAAAGAAGATTAAGCAAACTCTCCCATTAATCCATTCAGGAATCTCTTCCACTTTGCTGGCAGAAAGCTTTGTTTTGCCTATTCCCTTCTAATATGCATCCTTTCTTTTTCTATAAAGGTGGTAAACCTGTTCCATTTAGAAGCCTTTCACATATGATGATGATGTGTTCTATACAAAGAACAGTTCACCCACCCTCAGACATCTGAATAGATGTGGAGTAGAAATGGATTTGTGATGATCTACCCACAGAGTTGTTGGTCCCCAAACAACGGCTAGCCACAGTTGGGCGCGTCATCTTTGACCATAAAAGAACTAAATTCACCAATCATCATTTCATTAGAATCATGTTCTTAGCATCTTCTTAGAAATAACTCTTCATGTTAAGTCTACAATTCAGGTGAGGAGGGTGACAATGGGTATAGTCAGACCAGGAGAGTGGGAGGCCAGTCCCTCAGAAAGTCTGGCTGAGCCCCTGTGCTCATGGCTTATGATTTCTTATGCCTGATTTCTCAACTCCCAGAAGAGGCAGGAAGTAGTAGGGCACAGCATTAGAGGAAGGTAGGCCCCAGGAGAGGGGTCTCCAGGGACTCTCCAAGGTGGCTACCTAAGGAGTGGATTGAGTTGACCTCCCTGCACAAAATCCAAGGAAGAGCACAAAACAAGAGAAAAGAGGCAGGCAAGATGAGTACTTCCCAAGATGGTGACCTGGAGTGATGTCTTAGGCAGCCTACCCTAGCTAAAACACTGGTATTCCATTTTTACCCTTGATGACCACTATCCCTATTTTACGGCCAACTGAACTGGGGACAGAAGGCTAAATTATAAGGATGAAACCAGAGTGAAAAGATTTCTTTTTTCACCCGGCTACTAGTTGCAGTCATGCCATTGACACCAGGCAACAAGGCAAGGTGTGCCTACTTAGGTCTTTCCCAAAATGGAAATATCCCTCTCTTACAGCTCCTCTTTCCTTTGTTCATGAGGCAGAATCGCTCTTAAAAACACAACAGTATGTATCCTGAGGAAGGGTAAGCAGTAAATGCACAACTGAGCCAGCATACAACCAGAATTTGCCACAAAAACGAGTCAAAGGCTGCCAAAGCCACAGAAAATGGGGACTCAGAAAGACAAAATACAGGATTTTGTTGCCTCTTTTTAAAGAGTCTTTACATAATGTGTCTTCAATTAGTTTTTTCAGGGGGAGGAAATGAGAGGGTCTGCTTTTCTTTTGCAGCTATGAGAACCTAGCTCTCATAGGCTAACAGGGAGACATGCTCAGAAGATTTCCAGCATAGCTCCAATTAAAAACAGAAGATGCATTTCCACATGATTGCATTACATATATCTCTTCTCACAGTCATCCAATGAATACTGATAATCATAAAACAGAAGAATTATATGCAAAATCCTTCAAACCTTCAGAATATAAGCTATAATTATAGTCAGGCCACCTTACAAAAGTATAAATGGCCGCAGGAAACAGTCAGTGGCTGCAGGGACTGCCCTTCACTCCCTGTTGCTGTCACTTGGGATTTCCTTCTTACCTCTCTCCCTTTTTCCCTTTCAGAAGATGATAAATTTAGATCTGGAATGGACCTTAGAAGCTGTTTAGTGTGGCCTCCTCATTTTACAAATGAGAAGGGGGAAACCCAGATAAGTTAAGAGACTTGCTTAAGGTTGAATAGTAAGTGACAGAGCTGGGATTGAACCCAGGTCCTTGGACTTCAAATCCAAGACTTCACAGCTCCCACAGCAGCTGCTTGGGATAACCTCATTCTAATTTCTTACCTCAATCCATGTAAGCCAACAAGGTCTAAGAATAACAACTAAAATTTATATAATTCTACAAAACCCTTTCGTTACAATGACCCTCAAATGCAGGGATTATCCATATTATTAAGGTGAAGAAATTGGGGGTCAGATTGATAGAAATGATTTGGCCAAGATCGCAGAGTTGGTAAGTATTAGACTAGGGGTTCTAACTTAGGTCTGCTGACTCCAAGGCCAGTTACAGCCTCCTAGTTGCATTATCCCTCCAGGGGTAGCACTAGAGATTCCTAGGGGAGGAAAAAGAAGCCTATTGTCACTTTGCTCACTCTGTCATAGCTGATTTGAAGTTCCCAAGTACCATTACTGTTCTCCTTGGCAGTGTCCCATGAACCCATCCTACTCTTCATCAGTGAACCCCTGGTCAGCTTCTGTGACAAAATGTTCCACAATGTGAGAGACTTCTCTCTGAAATATCTATGAATCTCATTTCAATCAGTCCTTAGTGTTCAAAGTCTCACCTTTAAAAGCTTTGTGCAGACTATGTTTCCTTACTAAAGTCAAGAAAATAGACGGAGAGAGAGAATAAGGAGGGAGAGGTTGATTGGAAATAGCCTTCTCATTTTAATCCAAAATGAACCAGAAAGGAGAGTAGTAAGTGACACCAATGGATGGATAAGAAAGCAACCTAATTCCCAGAACTGACAAAAGGAAAGAAAATGAGTGACTTGGTAGCCATCCAGATCAAGAGGCATCCTTAGAGGACTGCTCTGTCAGGAAGCATTAGCCATGGATCCTCCACCTTTTCCTCAGTCCCTTACTACTGTCCTCTTAGGGAGCCCCTAACTTCAGGCCATTGGTCTCATCATTTGTAGCTTGGAGACAGAAGAATCGCTTTTTCTACTATCCACCAGGAATGAGAATCAGAGGGGAAAAATTCCAAATCCTACTGCACTGGATAAAGATGCATCCCTATCATTCTAAGTTAGAATTGTGAATACATTTTTCCATAGAAACATGGTTAAAAATGCTGGGTAGGCTAGATTTGAACTCAAGGAAGGGAGTCTTCTTAACTCCAGACCCAGTACTCTATCCACTGTGCCACCCAACTGCCCAGTATAAGTATGCTGAGTAGGTTTTATACTGGGCAGCTAGGTGGCACAGTGGATAGAGTATTGAGCCTGAAGTCAGGAAGACTCCTCTTCCTGAGTTCAACTCTAGCCTTTGATACTAGCTAGGTGACTGGGCAACCGTGTTTGCTTCAATTTTCTTATCTGTAAAATGAGCTGGAGAAGGAAATGGCAAGGCACTCTCGTATCTTTGCCAAACAAAACAAAACAAAACAAAACAAAACAAAAAACCAAATGGGGTCACAAAGAGTCTGACACAATTGAACAACAACAGAGTTTTGTATTATAACACAAGTTCACTATGGATTAAATAAGCTACCGAAGAGGACAAACCATGGATAATTTATCAGAAAATGCTTAATGACTGACACAGATCCTTAGAGTTTGGAAGGACCTTAGAGACCAGACTTTCGCATTTTACAGATGAGGAGACTTTTCGAGTGAACTTTTGTAACATAACCAATACTAATTTGAGGACTGTCCATATCACTCACAAAAAAATCATTCTTGGTTCAAAGAATGGCCTTCTTTTGCTGAATTTGATGCCCTGGTCACGCCCTAACGGTTTAGTTTCATTTACTCTCAGATATTCTCATAATGTGGAGAAATCTTATTTCCATTAATGATGTGTATATAGATAAATCTTTTAACAGACAGCTGTGTTATACTCCTACTCAGGGCCACACCTACTTCCCAGGATACCTGCGTTGATGCTTGGTAGCAGCAATATGCATTTTGATCTCTATAATATTTCAACTAAAATGTGCCTCTGGGAGATTTACCTTTCCAATTACAATATAAACCTGATAATATCTTTCTCATCCACCACGCCCTTCTTCAAAAATTCTTTAAAATTGTAACTCGTTCGTTGCCTAAAGTATTTTTCCTAGCTTTTGAGCAGAGACAAAGTATAATGGCAGTATCAGTGCCAAAATGTACCATTTTTATCCTTAGAAAATTGAGGTGACAGACATATGTGATTCTTTTACCAAAAGTCAATCACATGATAGAATAGATTGCCATAATCCACCCCAATTGGCTATTTGACACATCTTTGCACACCTCCAGTAAGTGCTAGCCTTAATTTCCCAAATAGAATAGGTCACAGTAGTGCTGGGGGTGGAATCAGGAGGGTTTGGTTGCAAATCTTGTGCTAGGTCTAGAGTCAGGAAGACCTGAATTCAAATGCTGCCTCAGATACTTCCTAGCTGTGTGACCCTGCACAAGTCACTTAAGCTCTCAGTTCCCTCATCTATAAAATTGGGATATTAATAGCACCTACTTCACCAAGTTGTTATGAGGATCAAATGAGATAATATTTGTAACAGCACTTAACACAGTGCCTGGCACATAGTAGGTGCCTAATAAATAAATGCTTGTGCTCTTTCTCCTCTGGCATTTGTAATTCTGGCTACACTACCATCAGCAAGTCACTTTAATTCTCTCAGCCTCATTTTCCTTATCTATCAAGCAGAGATAATTATATCCAGAGTATCTGCCTTACTGAATTGTTGGGGGGCTCAAATGAAATGATGTCTGGAAAGAGCTCTGCAAACTTTGAAGCCCTGTATAAATGTCTGTCCTTATTATTCTCCAAGTTTAGCTAAATCTCCTTTTAAAAGATGATATAATGATAATGAATGTCAATCAACAACAACAAAAAAACCCTTGATGAATGATTTTAAACAAATAAATAACAATAGTTAAGTGATTCTGGCTTAGGAGGGGGACATGGGGAGTTTCTATGAATCTTCTC